TTACATTTTTTTAAATAACTTTTTTTATATCTTATATTTACACGTCACATGAGTGATCAGTAGAAAGGTCATATGAACTGTGCATGTTAATGAAAACGATAAATTAGTGATAACAATATATTTGAATAATTACGTATATTTTCCAATAAATATAATTATCTATTTTTATGTAATACAAATAAATTATATAAGAGAATGTAGATTTCAGTCGAATACATATATACACATACAGACATATTTGTTTAATTTGTATCAAATTTATCAAATATTTCGATGTAATGGCAGTACAAACACAGTAGGCCGACAGTCGAATATATATATATATATACGCATACATACACATACATACAGGCACAGAGATGTATTTGTTCGATTTTTTAAATCAAATTTATGAGATATTTCAATGTAAATGACAGTAACAAACATATATAGACAAATACTTTTAAAGCACAGTTATTAGTTTAATTTTCCTAATTATATAAAAAATTCTATACGATATGTTTCTTTTGAGATAGTGGGCCGATCCAAAATCGTTCAAAGTCCAGTTTCATAAGTGGACGCGAAAGACATTGTAACAATACAAAAAGACAAGGAAGAGAAATAGCAATAATGAATTTACTGATAGCGCTACCGATGTCGAGCCAACTACCATATGGCGTGACACAATACATCAAAGGCAATGACAAACAATCGCCTAAAAAGAGAACAGCTAAAGAGTTTGGCTTTTTACATTCTTCCAATTCTAAAGAGTAGCTCACGCATCCCACTAATACCAAAGGAATGCTAAGTTTAAGAAGTATCAAGGATGTCATTAGAAATGGGGAGAAAACGGTGATAAAGTGACGCGTCCAAGATGGATCGAATGAACTGATGCTCGCCATATTTCCCGTGCCGAAGAAGCACAATAATACGTATAACATCTATAATAACATGTTAAGGACATATATATAAGTAATAATAGTTATCTATTATATGTATAAATCAAGAGAGAAGTGTTGAAAATTAATTCTTTAAATTAATTCTTTAATTTCTCTAATCTAATTATCTTTAATTAATCCAGATATAAATATCACTTTTGTTAAAAAAAACTTATGGCATTTAAAAAATTTTTCTGAAAGATGATAAAAGGATACGAAAAATGCCGCTTTGATCAAGTCTTCTGTAATGTTTCGCTCCCCTGAGATCTTTGAGGTAGTTGGAGTAGCTTCCAACCAGGAAATTAAATTGAGTGTAAGAGTCATGAAGAAGATTGGCTCGTAAGAAGTCGACAACAATGTAAGAGAACAGAAAAATCCAAGCATTACGCCCAGCGTTCTTTTTTTGTTCTCTATTGGATGACACCAAATGCTTAATGGTGCAGTCAGCAGGATAATCCACGATATCCAATACCGACCATCGATGAACTCCATATATACAATACTTGTGATGACTAGACGTACAATTTCCATTATTCTCCGACTTTGTGACATCTCGTTAATAATCACTATCGCTATTGCTATACATACGCCAATTATCCTGAAAACGATGAAGAAGATATTAAGTCAGTAAAAAAATTTTTATACAAAATTCCTATATATCTTGTGTATTCTTTTCCAATATCATTAATTAAAAGAAAGAAAAACAGATAAATTTTTTTATCGATCTCTCCTATGATCAATATTCCTATACTATTTAAAATAATTTTAAATGTCTGACTTGATTACATTTGCGAGATAAACTTACACAATATAAGTGCGTGGATATGGCTCAACGACAGGCAGTAATGGAAATACACATAATGCAATCGAAGTCCAAATCATGGAAACTGGTACATCTTCTGATTTTACTGCTCGTATCAATAAGAATAACAGTATTCCTATGCTGAAAGCAAATCTATATGTTAATCCAGCGAATATTATCACTAGTAATAACAGAGTGCCTCCAATATCTATGATTAGCGTTTGTGTGCTCGTTTCTGCAAATACAGGCGTCGATGTAATATAAGTAGTAACGGCAAACCACGCAGATATTATAGCAAAGGATGCGTAGCATGGTAATCTCCAGTTGCTACAATTAGACGCTGTAAGTAAAAGTTAATGTATAAATGAAGTGTCCATTTTTTAAATAAAATCACTAACTTTTTTTTCACTTAATATATTTTGTCTAGAAATTACTCACTTATATGTACAATTAACATTATTATTAATAAACATGGAAATCCAATGTTTACTAATCGTAGAAGAAAAATTCGCGAATATTGACGCTTTGCTCCAGCTATTTTGAAGAATAATATAACTATCCAGCTAAGCCACATTATTGACAAATATATTAAAAATCGTATACGTTGATATTGTCTGAAATACAACAAGGCTTCCTTGCTAAAACTAATTGCATCATTGCCCTCTCGAATTCCTGCCATTATATTTCTTTTACTGATATGCTGTTGGGCTTTACGAATTTTATCATTTATCTGTGTCTCTCGCCAATCAGTATGATCACTATCTTGACAACTTATCACACGATTTTCTGTTATTTGATGCATTAGTTGTTTCACATTGCTGATTAAAGAACGAGCAACATATTCACGATAATCCAAATTGAAATACTGCCATGGTAGTGCACCCTAAAAAAGTATTTTACGAATAAATATTTTATACAATATAGGGGCACATATATAGTATATGAATCTGATCTTAATATAATACATAAATACTTACTTCATTATTTATAGGAATAGGAATTCCTATTAGGGACGCTATCAAGGGAGTTATACTCGCTTGTTCAACATCTTGACGAAAGCCAGACGATTTTACTCCTGCTCCCCAAGTGATTAACGGCGTTTCAGTTTCAGATGGTAAACCACTTCCATGAGATCCCCAATCGGTCATTCCGTGATCCGATGTAAATATATAAGTGGTGGTGCCCTTCCCAAAAAAGTCTTCTGTCGCATTCACAGTCTCTTCAATCCTCTTATCGACATAGTTCATATTGTCCACATACTCTCTAATCTCAAAATTTTCTTTTCAATAATTCTGTACTTTGAAAACAATAGTAATCAATAACAATAGTTTAAAATAACTCGGATACCTGGAATTTGGTTTTTTAGCATGTCCCAGAGTATCACATCCAAGCAGATGAAAGAACAGGATGATTCCATTTTGATTTATGACTGTCTCGGCTACTGAGGACTGTAGCCATTTTAAGTAAGCATCAAACACCCAGGAGTCCAGACGTCTTGTTTGATTACTCAACTTTGTATCAAAATCCTGCCACGCAGATGGATAACTTTGTCCGTAAACATTGTGTTTGCTACCTAACTTTTCAAAATTTCAAAATAAGCGTGAGAAATAATGGATATCAATGCTGTTGCATCTTTCTTTTAGAATACCTTTCGTGAATAGTGGTATTATATCTGGACTGCCCCAAGCCCAAGTTGCATGACTTTGATTAAAGACAGAATCAAAGTCAACTGGATTCTCCTGCCATCCTTTGAAAATGGCACTAGGATCCTCGTACAATCCTGCAGCAATTGCAACGTGTCCTGGTCTTGATTCGGTAGGCACTCTTGTGTGAGATATTCCCCAAACACCACTATTCTTCATTGCATCCCTAAAAAAAAATTATTTATTTTATCTAACAAAATTAAGTTAATATTGAAACAAAAACATAATAAATCAATATTCTTATTAATATTACATAAATATAATATATAAATATACATAGTATATAATTTTATTAATATACAAATATAAATAATTGTATATTAATATATAATATCTTTATTATATATATATATAAAATATATTATATAATAGATTAACTCAATTTTTACTCTTTTCCAAACAAAAACATTAATTAAATAAAATTAAATGAAACCATATAAAACAGCAAAACTTTGTTGTTCTTTTTGATTAATAAACAAGTGTAAAAAAATTCCACAAGATACCTGAGATAAGGTGGTGGCTTCTCTATGAATGTCTGAAATCTCAGACCATCAGCCACGAAAAGCAGCAGCCTTTTAGCCGGTGCTCCATTAGGCGCCGGTACAATTGGCATTCCTCTAATAATAGGTGAATGAAAGTTAACGTCTAATACGCCCCATAATAAAATTAAATGCATGATTAACCCCCACAGAGCAAACAGATAATTGTTGCCCATTTCGAGCCATTGTTTCTTGTGAAACTTTCCTGTTCTTTCAGTCAATTCACTTTCTGCGATATCTAATTTTTTCCTTTTTATAAACATCTTTAATAATTTTAAGATTTGTAAGATTTGGGTATACTCGAGATATACAATTGTAAGATTGAGATATACTCGAGATTTGACACAACACAGTGTATGTCATACTACGTTAGCAGAGATATACTGACAAATCGATTTGAAATATCGAACGAAAGTATTAAATTTGTATTAGTCGCGCTTTGTACTCCATACATCTTACGTGGCTCTCTTTAGCTTTCTTTTTCTTTATACACATGCATACATATATATATCTATATGCATGCATACATATCTATATTATGCAATATCATACAATAGCAATACAAATCCATAACTTACTGTCAATAACTTGCCGACTGTTAATATTTTATATAAAATGTAAACAAATATAGTATTGGAAAAAGAATATAATGTGATTGAATAAAAAATTATCTTTTGATTATATTTTTATTTTCTATATAAAAAAGAAACTAAAATTTTTTAATATTATAATTAACATATATGTAATCGGTATGTTATTGATTGTCGATAATTATCAACTTCCTTATTACAGACAAAAAATCTTACTCAAACTGTAAGTTATATAAATAATACAATTATAAAAACTGTAATTTTATTTAAATGTTTATCACTTATTCGTACAATAACAAATAAATTTTATTGAATTTATAATATACACGCATTATATAAAAATAATAATGCAATGGAAAAAACTTAAGGTTGTAATATAAATTTTTCTGTGTTAATTTTATTATCACACATATCTACATTTAAAAATTATTTATGTATACATAGGCAGAAATATTTACTTTTACAGAAAAAGTATATCTAAATTTTAGCTTAGGTCTAGCACGTGTTTCGCAATCCAAAAGATTGCAATACACAATATAGAACAAAAGTTTGTTATGTACAGCTCAATGTTACGAATGAATATTATTTTAACCCAGTACCAATGGCAAACATCTATATTTTCAAATCGTGCGTATCACATACATTTCGAAGAGAGGTATAAAATATTGCTTAACTAAGCTTGTCTCCTTTCAATTCTTTGTTATAATACACTATGGCACGCTCTATCAACGATGTGTTCTCACTTTCTGGGTTTGCTTCCGTTGAATTTTTGCTATTTTTATTACAATTCTTCCTCATGTCGTCTTCTAGATTATTACTACTATTATTTATTGGTTGTGAAACCAGCTCAGGTAACTTATACTTCGTATGTTTTGCTAATTCATAAATTGCACTCTGCAAATAATGAATTTGTGCTTCTTGTTGTAATGAAACATTATACAACGCTTGGATATCATCCGTAAACTTCTGTATTTGCATCTGACGGATTTCCTCTTTCTTTGCCTCTTTTGTGACTTGCCTGTTGTACTCCAATATCACACATGCTCCAGCTACACTGAAGATAATCAACTCGCCCATTAGACTAGCACCCAATTCGATTGCCATTGCTTCGTTCAACTTGGCAACCTTTGTAGGCTTACCGAGATTCATGACATACATTTTTACTTTTACTTCTGCCCAATGATAAACTATGGATATACAAAACAATTATAATTACATCTTACAATAGTGAACTTGTGCGTCATGAGAAACAAAGAAGTATACGCACATTGAGCGGGTGGTATGATAAAGTAAGTTCTGAAAATAGGACGACTCTTTGCTTGATTGACAAGAAATTTGGCTAAAGGTTTACTGATCTGTTTGACAAATAGTACGCCCAATTTAAGGGCTGGAAATACCCCGACTGGCATTTTTACCGATTAATGTTACAGCACCTTCTCATTTGCTTTTCAATATCCTAAAAATTTTTGCGATGTATATAATGTAATAATGTATATGTAATACACATAAAATCATAGACTCGTCATTTTTTAATGAAAAAATGTTTTAAATGGTATGCAAAACATAATAGATTCGTAGTTCAGCGATCTCGTTAGTCTCATGTCATCACACCTTGATTATTTATTTCAGAATGTTAACGCAATGGTATCGCAATTATCACAAGTGACACAACTGACAGAAATTGTACTTTGCTACAAAGCATGTATTTTGATATATTTTTCCGTCTACAGATATCTTTCATGCCGAACACAAACTCCATCATCCCCGCGAACGATAATGAATCCCTTTTCCATCCCTCAAAGGGCTCAAAGTGCTCAAAGCAAGCAGGTTAATCAGCCTATGATGTAAAAAGACAGGTGAACCATTCCCGTGGATGCGCAGTCGTCTAAAGTAAAGAGCCAATCAGAAATCGCCCAGAATGTCAGAATTCAATATGGTTGCGAAGTGATACACTGCACTGGGGCTCTATTCTTGAAAAGAAACCTATGCGAAAATCTAGGGAAATGCTACAGTATACGTCACGTATACTATAGTGTTTCCCTAGACTTTCGTATTCGTTTCTTTTCAAGAATAGAGCCCCTGTTTTTGAGCACATATGAATAATTTTTGCATACGAAAATGACAGTTTCTCGATTGATCATTTGCATATGGGATTGTTATTTTCGTATGCAATATTTGTTCAGGAATAGGGCCCCTGCTGTACATTTGCTCCACTTCGTTCTGCACTTTTGGGCATTTCTTATTGGCTCACTACGATTGTTACGTCACGACACGTGACATCATATGCGCAATGGTTCACCTGTCTTTTTACATCATGAATCAGCCAATAGCGGTGAAAACATGATGTAAGGAGCTCCGCACAATAAAAGGAACAGGGAACAGATAACAGAGAATAAGAATTTCAACCTATCAGAAATTTGGAAAACTGATAGGTTGAAATTCTTATGCTGGATTTACACTGTGTCCGATTATCGTCGTACGACGCTCTTCAACCAATCAGAAAACAGAATTCCGATGATACGAAG